ATATCATTACATATATTTATTAACATATACATAAATTTCCTTTTTTGCCCTTTGATAAAGAAACTATTAATACATATACATATTCAGAGAAAAGTAGGGAGTTTATCAAAATGATCTATATAAGATCAAAGAACAGGCCAATCACAAATTCTGTTACACAAAATCAGTGGTGAAGACCAGAGACTTTGCAAGTGCACCTCATGTAATCCCGGGGCTTCCACAAACCATCTCTGAGTAGCGACTTTGTTGTACAGCCTGTGATAGGTTGCTCTCTTGTCTGACATCTGGTGGCTTTTCTGCCAGGGAGGAAGCAGCTGCTGAGATTTAAAGTAAACAGTCCAGCACAGTGGTACAAATGCAGTCAGTCTGTAGAATGGGCTGTCCTACTGAATGAAGAGCGGTCTGGGCAGTGAAGAAGAGACTTTCTGCAGAAGGACTGTGAGTCCTAGAATCAATTTTCTGATACGGTAGATTTCCACATCCCCGCATTGTGTGTAAAGGTGTTGATTCAGGGTGGCAATGAAACAAACTGAATTACTCCATAGCTAAGAATTGGAGCCTTGGCATCAAGTGAGAAATTTGTATACTGTAACTTTTGGTACCCTGCCCAGATGTGATCATGTACTCTTATTCATTTTATTCTCTCAATATTAGTTCTACATGATTTGATCTTTACTGCAGAGAAAGAAAAGGTAGGAAATTTAGGAAGCAATAACTCCATCAAGAGAGCATTTCCCTGATAAAGCTGCAAAGGCTCTGGGCTGCCTCGGGGACGAGGCTGCTGCACCCACTGCAGATAGCATGGATGGATCTCATGCATCACTGCAAATTACTGTTCCAGCCATTTCTTCCCTGGGTGTTTAAAAACGTCTTTCAGTCTGCTTGAAGGGTATTAACTGTTGTGGAACAAGTTAACACTTTTCTGATGTATTATTTCCTACTGTAGAATATTCATAGTGTTGTTTATTATAGAAACCTGTTAAGGGGTGCCCTTTTCCGGTGATCAGTTCCCCTGCCCCCGCAAAATCCTTTTCAACATTCCCTGATGAGGTCTGACCTTGACTTAACCGAATAATGATAGACCTCCCAGGGCCTGCTCAGCCTGGCACACAATGCCTCAGTGCCTTCCCTCTCCTAACAGCTATGCTGTCCTCTCAGGATGGTATGCTTTAAAGAAGATGCACCAGCCCAAAGAGAGCTCATTACAGTTCCCGGGTTCTCCTCTTCCCAAGGTGGATCAGTTGTGGCACAGGGCATGAGTGGACAGGACTGCACTGCAGTTAATGTGTTTTAGACTTACAAATTCTACAGTTGCTACTCCATTCCTGTAGACTCTAGCAAAGATGATGGGATGAGATGGTGGTATACTTAGCAAGACCCCGGTGCCCAAGATTGTCTCAACAGTACTCGCAGGGCAGGAAGCCAGGATATTTTGACAAAAATGTGTAATCACCATGGAGCATGGTGTGCTCTGGGGATAATATAATGTCTCAGATAGCACAGTTAGGGCTCTGAGATAGAATAAAAAGAGATTCTCTCTGTGTGGAGTCTCAGAATATTCCAAGAGATTTTAACATTCCATCAGAAGAGTCTCAGCACAGCCAAATCAACTTGTAATACCATTAATCTTTCTCTTGAGCCAAAGATGCCAGGCTCTTCTTCATGAAAAAATACATATTTCCTTTGTATTTTGCAGCACTAATGTCTAGAAGCCTCTAGTGCCCTCATTTTTGCTTTCTATCCTATCAAAACAATTATGCAGTAAGGTTTGCATAAGTTGTTTCTTTTAGGGAATATAAAATATTATAATAATTCATACCGGATAGAAACCTCCAATCTTTTTCTATTTTGTAACTATTTACAGGTCTGTAACTGAGCTTAATAATCTTAATAGCCTAAACTTTAAGATGAATAGCCAAGGTTTAACATGTCCTAAGTATTTGATCCTGAGTAGGGGTAGTATAGGCTTCTAAAATGGAGTGTACAGTAGATGAACTCGTCTGGCTGGGGATGGGTGTTTACTTCAGAAGTAGTTTTATAATTCTAACTATGTATGCTTGGGTGATGCTTGTATTAAAATGTGATATACTGAGCCAGCATCTGAGAGCATCATTCCAAGGACAGATCAGAAGGAAAAATGGCCACATACTTCCCGATATTGTGGTGACTTTCGCTCTTCATCATGCTACATTTGGTGTTTCTTTCTCGTGAGTAATTTGGTTTTTCCTGTCAGGAACATGAGATTTTGTGGATGTTGAAAATGCAAACAGAAGAAAATGCTTTGAATTAAAAAATGCATTTATATCATATATAAATATGAGTATACATTTATATATGCATTCAGATATATGTATCCTTAGGGAGAAAATTCACGGTCAGGCAAAGAGCCAGTTCTTTAGTTTTCCATCTGTTCAGGTTGTAGGACCTAACTCACAGGGAAAAGGAAGCTTGGGCCCTTCAGCAAGGTAATGTGAAATGACTACCAATATGGCTTCATCAAGAGTACACTGAAGGTTGTTTGAGGATCTGTTCCTCAGGGGTCACCTGGGCTTGGGAGGAGCCCCTGGCTCCTTTGTTTTACCAGTTCCATCTATGTGAAGATAAGTCAAAGGTCCTGCTCAATCATGGCTGGCTTTACTTGGAAGCCATGGAGGAAATGTTTCCTCTGTGTTGACCCTCCTCTTTGTAGACTAGACACTGGTTCAAGTCCATCTGGTGGGGTCTCCCTGGCCTCCCTGAACTGGAGGACAGGTGACTCACCACAGTTATAGGACATTTTGAGAGATGGTCCATGGTGGCATGGAACTTAGTCGACCATGGGAGGGCAAGGAGCACAAACTGTCCTTTAAGTCCCTCTGACCAGATTAGTATAGCCCTCAAAGTATGACTGTTAAATATCCAAGAAGGTTAGCAGCACCAGTCTGGTAATTTTAATTACCACGCACTATGTAGATAAAGCTTGGGCAAAAACAAAATGTTCTCAGATAAACCTTGACTAGACATATATTTTGTTCCTTAAACAAGTTGTATGTATAATTTGTCAGTAGGTTGTTGTACTAATATGGTTCCCTCTGGTTTTTTCAAACTAGCAGAGCTCTGTGATCTCTTCTAGAGGAGAGGTCAGGTTGGAGAATCACAGAGAGACCTAACCTCAAGGACTAGAATTCTCAGATTTTCATATCTACCATGAATTCCCAAGGATTAAGTAATAAAGTACTGTTTTTCTTTCCATAAAATATGGAGACTAGGCCAAAATATCACAAAGTTGTACACTCCCCTATCTTTCCTATATTGACTACCACTTCTGAAGATTCTCAAGTACAACTAGTATTAACAGAATCATTTAAGACTCTAAGCTAGTCTCACTTTCATGACAGTGGTTATTATTTACAGAAGCAAGAGTGTTATTCATATTTTTTAAAATAGTGAATATATGCATAAATACAACAGCATTTTCAATGACTCTAAACTTCCTTAGTATTCCAGTACAGCTGTTTTACTCTGTTAGATGATTAGGCTATGATTTACCTGGAATTAAGTTTTATAATATTTTATTATATTCTCTAGCTCCAAGTTTTCAAATCTGGTGGCCAACACATGGATTAATTGAGGTAACTGTCCACTAAATTTCCTAAGACTAAAATTTTAAGCTGATTTTTTCTTAATTTTAAAAAATTTATTTACCTATTCTTTGAGAATTCCATTCATATATATATAATGTATTTTAATCATGTCTACCATCACTTGCTCTTCCAATTTCTCTGAGATTCTCCTTCCATGCTTCCCTCCCAACTTCTTATGCTCTTCTCTTTTAAAACAAATCTTATTATTTTTATTTCACGTGTGTGTTTTTCCTGTGTGCAGATAAGTGCTCCTACATCATACACTGCCTGTGGAGGTGAGAAGAGACTGTTGGATGCCATAGAGATTGAGTAAAAATAGTTGTTAGCCACCATGTGGGTGCTGGGAATTGAGCCACAGTCCTCTGCAAGAGCAGCCAGCATGTCTAACCACTGAGGTGCAGCCATCTCTCCAGCATCTTCTTTTTCTTTATAACACACTGAATCCAGTTACAGCTGCCCATATGTGCAAATGTGTGGGCCTCATAGGTTGCCCATGCTCCAGTGAATATGCTTTTTAAAAACTTCCTATTTTGAAACATTACCTCAACAAGATCATCTGTGACATTCTTAGTCTATTCACGTGAAGATTATTGATTCACTGTTGTTTTGTGTCTACAGCAGAGTAATCCAAACTGGGAACCTAGTCCAAATATGGTCACGTGTACATCAGAGAACCTTCCACATCTGAAAAATATTTTTGTGTGCTGACAACCTCCATTTGCCAGGTGTAATGAATCTTTAAGGTCTATGGACTTGAGAACTCATGTAGCTCCTGATCTCAGTGAGTCACGCTTTGATGGAACAAATGGACAGAGCACATACTCCTGGTTCCCTGAGATGAACAGATAATGGTTACATAAATTGTAAATAGAGATATCAAGTAATCTCTGAGACTCTGGAAATAAGAAAAGGTAAAGTGACAGGGAATCTCTGGAAAGGACTTCAAATTAGGTTTGCAACTTTTGGATGGGTAAGACAGAGGTGTGGTTTTTATTTTTGCCTATCCCTCTGAGCACTGTATGTATTATGGGGTCAATATACATATGATAAGTGAGGTAATGAATAAATTCTTTTTTGTATTTTTATATATTTGCGTCATTTCATTCTTTTACCTTAGAAGTATTTGAGGTTCAATCTTTGTCTCATTCATGAATTTAAATTTTCTTCTTTCCTTGACTCTAGCATATCAGGTCTCTCTCCTCATCTACCTAGGAGATCCTGTCCACAAGGGCATCACATTATTATCAGATAGAGTGTACAAAGCTCTAGTACCATGGCATTGTGTTGATACAGACTATGGAAGACATTGTGAGACTGGAATATGGTTCTGACCATGCTTTGGTTTCCCAAATTCAATCTACAGGTGATCTTTTAAACATGGTCCTAATAATTTTTTTTGTCCTTTTGAGACTGGATCTTCCTGTAGCCCCAGCTGTCCTGGAATTCACTACGTAGACCAGGTAGGTCATGAGCTCACAGAGATCCCAAGTGCTGGGATTAAAGATATGGACCACAACACTTGGCTGCATGGTTCTAATTGTATTAATTTTTGTACTCAATTTCAGATCAAATGTCCTTACAAGAAAGTAAACTTGAGTTGGTTCAACAAAACAGTGGATTCCTGCCCTAACTTAAAATAGCCTATCTGTGGCACCAATTTTGCTACATATGCCAATCTTTGTATCTTGTGTCATAAGAGCTTGTAAGTATAATCTGGGAAAAAGATAACTAAGACTAAGCTTGTTGGTTGTGATTTCTACCTACCCCCACCTTCCCATCCAAATATAGAAGCTATAAAGCCACTGTTTTTCTCTAATTTTCCAAGATAGTAATCATCCCCATTCTGAAGACCACATGCAACAGAAGGCCTCCTGGAGTCTAAACAGTTGCTTTGAACATAGTCCCATAATTCATGGATTTCTTCCGGAAATTCTGAAATATATCTTCAGGCCCCTAAAACTTGTAGTTTTATCTTCTTTTAGATATTTCCAACTGTCTACGTGTCTATAACCTTTTTAAGACTAACATAGCAACAAAGTTTGGCCCATCATGATTAATTATTTAGTCCTTTGTATTTACATGACAGGAAAGCAATCTGTCTTTAGACATCAAAATTTCAACGCCGCAGTGACTTTAGTCTTGATATCTATTTCACAAGACAAAAATCCCTTCCTTATGTTATAGGACTGTACCCCTTAGCTTAACTATCTTCATTTTTGTGCAGGAAGCAATGAAGAGAATATATAAACCTTATGTTATCCCATTAATTAGTAATTTAGCCAAAGGTTGAGATTATCAACTGAATACCTGAGAGTAGACATGCCTCGTGCATCACAAACTCATGCCTGATCAGAAAGATTATTTCCCAAAAGATTGTAGCTTATGTAGCATCCTCAGTGGTGGCTTGTAATCATGCAAAGATGATCAGATAGGAAATCCAATATTCTTTCTTTTACCTCATGTCAGTTTCCTTTATAGTCTGGATCTTAATTTCCCCAAATATGATTTAATGAAATGCTTATTATGCCTCTATTCAGAAAGCCTCGAGGAAGAATTAAATATTACCACAATGAAAGATGCTAGGTGATTGAAACAGGACGTGCAAGAAGATTTCTTCCTTTTCTCTCCATCACAACTTCTCTCCTATGTTCATCCCTCCCTGTACCTCTCCTTATGTGCATTCTTCATGGCAAAGAATTGCTGGGAGCTGACAACTCAAGAGTCCATCTACAATTTCCCTAATGGATAAATTATTCTGGCCTGGAGATGTAGTTCATATTCTAAGGACCAGGAACAATCCTGAACACTGTAAATAAATAATAAATAATAAATAAATAAATAAATAAATAAATAAATAAATAGTTAAGGTTGGTGGAGCTGGCTCATTATGAAATCTTGACTTGGTTCTTGGGTCTATATCTTAAATCTTAGCAATAGAACATATTTTAATACTAAACCATGTGTCAAAGGCAAATAGTAGGGCTTATCACCTCTCTAACTTTATGAATAGTGAAATTATCTATGACTTATGGAGAAACAATTTTTCTATATTTTTGGGCATTTAAAAAACTAATAAAACTATTATGATGGTTTGAATGAAAATGCCCCACATAGGCTCCAAGTATTTGGACATTTTGTCCCCCCTTGGTGGCGCTGTTTTGGGAGGTCTTAGGTGTAGCTTTCCTGGAGGAAGTACGTCACTGGGGGTGGACTTAGAGAGTTCTTAAGCCTTGCCAGATCTCCAGTTGTTCTCTTGCTTCCTGTGCCTGCTTGAAGATGTGAGAGCTTAGCTTCCATTGCTCTTGTTCCAGCCACTTCCTGCCACCATGCCTCCCCACCATGATGGACTGTAAATCCACTGGAACCATAAGCTCAAATAAACTCTTCTTTCTATAAGTTAATTTGGTCAGTGTTTCTATCACAGCAAAAGAAAAGTAACTAATACAGTAATTGGTACCAGAGAGTGCACTATTGGCTGTGAAGAGCCTAACCATGTGGGATTTTGGAAATATGTGGAAGACTTTGGAAGTTTGTTATAGAAAAGCAGTTGGTTGCTGTAAGCAGAGATTAACAAGCCATTTTAGTAAGTGCCTGAAAGAAAGTAGTGCTGAGAACAATGTGGTTCCAGAGGGAAATGAGGACTTAAACAGGAATTGGGATATTTCGGCAAAGAGTCTGTCTGGAGTCTACCCACAGCCAAAAAGCTTGCCTGAAGCTAAATTAAAAAGCCATAGACTAATTTCCCTGGTGGGAGAAATTTCAAGACAGCCTAATGTAGAAATGGTGGCATGGCTATTAATGGTGAATATTATGAAGATTTACAGTGAAAATGTACAGAATGGATTGAAAAAGAGCACTAGGAAAATTAATGCTGGTGCCCTGGCATGGGCTGCAGAGGATCCCTTTGATAAGGAGATTAAATTGATTAAAGAGGGGCCTAGATATTTGCACTTAAACAATGGAAAAAGGACACCCAGTTAAGCCTCCAATTTGTGAAAGGAAAATGCTTCAGGGTTCACTGAAGAGAAAAGATTCTAAAATGGATAAAGCAGGATGGAGTCCATCCCAAACTTGCAGTCAAACTTGGCAGTGTTGTTCACATGGTGCTGGCTTTAGAGGCATCAATGATACAAGAGTGAAGGGGTCATCAGTTCTTCCTCTACATCATGCAGCAGGGATTCCTCTGCATAAAGGAGGGCAAGATAGGATATTGTATGAAGATGTGAAGGTGAAGTCTGGTTGGCAATGGAGACCCCAAGAAGATGGTTGAGGTGCCAGAGCTGTGAGGCATCTGCCAAGAAGGCCTGCATACAGGGAATAGTACCAACCAAAGTGAGAGATGTATGTTGCAACCAGCAATGGAGAGGCTGAGCCATCTAAGCCTTTTGGAAGTAAAGTCCCAGAAGTCAGATCTACTGGATTGGCTCTTTGTCCTGCTGGGTTTTGGTCTTATTTTGGTCCAGTATTTCCTCACTATGCCTCTCTTCCTCTCTTTTGGAATGGGAATGTGTATTTGGTTCCACTGTATGTTGGGAGTATCTAATTTGTCTTCTGATTTTGTAGTTAAGATATTTCCCTGAGTCTCAGAAGAGACTTTGGACTGGACTATTGAATAGTATTGAGACTGGTAATGACTATGGGGACTTTTAAGGTTGGACTAAATGCATTTTGCATTTTACATGGCCATGAGCCTATGGGAGCCAGGGAGCGGAATGTGGTGGTTTGAATGAAAATGTCCCCCAGAGGCTCCAAGTATTTGGACATTTTGTTCCCAGTTGGTGGCATTGTTTTGGGAGGTCTTAGAAGGTGTGGCTATCCTGGAGGAAGCACATCACTGGGGATGGGCTTAGAGAATTCCTAAGCCTTTCCAGATCTCCATTTGCTCTCTTGTTTCCTGTGGCCCCTTGAGGATGTGAGAGCTTAGCTTCAGCTCCTTCTCCAGCCACCTCTGCCGCCATGCCTCCCTGACAGGATGGACTGGAATTCCCCTGGAAGAATAAGCTCAAATAAACTCATCCTTCTATAAATTGGTCAGTGTTTCTATCATAGCAAAAGAAAGGTAACTAATACAACTACTGAATGTTGTGATCTTCTTGAACAAGTCCTATTGCTTGACTTTGCAAATTCCTCATTAAACATTTGCAATTTAATTATTTTTTGAAGTTTCCAGGTTGGCCTTATGCTCTCAAACTTAAAATCCTCCTGCCTCAGCCTTTCAAGTAGTTGGAATAACAGGTGTGCACCATCCTGCCTACCTTAACATCCTCACTGTTAGGCTCAAAATTGAGACAGAGGCATCTATACATGCCCATTTCAGTTTATCAAGGCACTGAGTTTAACTGGCTCCACTTTTTCTCCATAGAAGCCTATATTGTTATCTACGAATGCCCCATTCAGCGGGAAGATTTTAACTTCTGAAGTACATAGGACCATACATCTTTCCCACATATAATGCCTCCTTGGTGTGCATGTATATATATTCATACTCATGCATGTATTTTCTAATATAGATAACAGACTAACTTGTACTAATATACTCTTTTCCACTCAGTAGCTTGTTCACTTACAGTCTGGAAGAAAGCCTCTATTTTGCTTGTCAAGTCTATTATAAGCTGTGGTCAGTTTCAGTGACTACATAGTGCAGGCAGGACTCAAGTGAAAAGGAAATCATCTTTCATCACCTTTAATCTTTCATTTTTAGAATGTGAAAGTAATTAGTCTTGGGGGAAAAGAGATACTCCATTTTTATAGCATGTCAACCTCCAGTACTCCAAGTTCTTGGTATAGGAACACAAAGAAATCTAGGTAGAACTGGGTCACAACAATATTGCTTTATCATATTCACAAATATGTTCTTGTACAGGAATTAATCCTACACTGATATCATGAAATGAATTTTTCACCTTAAATAGGTCTATTGGCGGCCATATGAGATCTAAGCTCTACTATCTCTGATCTCTTCTGGCGGTTCTTTATTGTCTTTGAGTAGCTTCCTCACACACAGGTATCAATCTGGAATCTGTTGGCTTCTCTCTACACCTTTCATAGCTGTGAACCTACAAACTCTAGCCATTTTAGTCTCTCCTTCCTCTCAGTTCTCTATCCTCAGTTCAGGGTTTTTCTATATAGGTTTTTCATTTCTATTCCCAGAATATCTCTTAATGTCAACACCAAAACCAACTGTGCAGATAACATCGCTCATAAACTAACATCTTTCAGTGCCTCATGTTACCTAATAGTTTGTTATTGTTTTAGGTGACTGTCTGGTAACATATTGTCTGAAAAGAAAAAAGAAACTATCTTTGTTCTTCTAAAGTCCATACTAGAACACAATGTCGGTTTTGTGTGTGTGTGTGTGTGTGTGTGTGTGTGTGTGTCTGTATGTAGAAAATATATGTGTGCTGCTAAAGTATATACGATAGCACAATGTGGGTTTTGTGTGTGTGTGTGTGTGTGTGTGTGTGTGTGTGTATGTGTGTGTGTGTGTGTCAATTACAAAGGGCAAGGCTGTGTCTTATAAAACATAAATGGTTTTATTGAATAGCAGCACATTTGTGTAAAATGTGCTACATATAACTGGTAAAAGTCTTTGGTAATATCTTTTCTGTAATTGGATTGCAGACATTTCTGAAGAGGGAAAAGAAGTTGATCTACTTCGACACCCATAGATAATTTCTATGCATCTCTTACCACTAGAAAATTAAAAGGGATCTGTGCCCTCAGAGTTTTAATGGGTAATCACTGCCCTCTGCCTTTTCCTCTTTCCTTCCTTCTTGTCCTCCTCATTTTCTCCTCCTTACCCCTTTCTGCTCCTAGGTCTTCTCTCTCTTGTTCTCTCTTTCTATCCCTCATTTAATACTAAGAAGATAACTTTCCACTCTATAGCTTATTTGAAATCTCTAAATTATCACATCTCAGCATTTTGATAAAGATCAAGTATTGGATTTCCTAAATATGAGTCCTCTTAACTTTTAATACTGTGTTACTGATAACTTAGAGAGATATTTTTTACATTTCTATCTTTTCTTACCCATCTACAATCTCTGATTGACAACCCCACTCACACCTTTAGTCATTTTTTTTTCTTATATAACTTAAATATCTATATCATGATATCTTAATGATCATCTAAACACAAAATGATAGATGTCTTGAGTTCTTGGACTACATGGACTCTTTAAAATCATTTCATACATTATAGACATTTTTATTCTTGTAAATTTGCTCCTACATATTTTGATACAATAGAAGTTAATGCCATTTTTCTAAGTCCTCAACACTCAAACTCAATTTCAATCTATAACTTCCACACATTGTTATATCATTGTAGGGGTTAATATACCCTCAGTCATGTATTTAATCCAAGTCATCATAAGTTTTTCATTTTATTTCAGACTCCACCTTATTTCTCCAGCCATCATTCTTTTGTCATTTCATAATGATTTAAACATGACCTGTTAAAATTAATATCCCTTGTGAGTTACACCACAAATTAGCATCTTAGTGTAACCTATAAGACATCATTTTGGTCTGCTATAGATGCTCTATTAAGAGCAACTTCATCCATAATGAACTGTTGAAGG